AGAACCAGCGTTGTCGTTAGCGCGGATATAACGGTGGGGGGATGAAGCGCTGGACAAACTGGAGATTATTCAGGATCCGTAGAAAGTATCGCTCTGATATCATAGGGCCAACGTGGCATGTGAGCTTCACAGTGAAGCATTCACTAGTGAAGTTCACTATACTAGTGCCATACAGTATTAAATACAACTCCTGCCGGACTTCTCTACAGAGAGCACAGGCTTATTCTTCGTATTTCTACATGTACAGGTCTGACCGCAGATGCTACTGCCGTAGTCTTTAGTAGAGGCTCTACGTCAAGCTTCACTGACGTTCGATCACTGGCCTCGAGCAGCGTCTGGTACTTTTGAGTCAAAGTTTGACTGCTAGCTAGATAAAATGCATCGCAGATGGGCTTTCAGCGTGATTCGTCCCGTTCCATATTGCTCGTGATTTCGTTCATCGGGCCAGCCGTTGAGCTCGCGGTCCAAACAGATCGATGCGATATCTGCCTGCTGGGATGAGACCTCAGTTGGTGATCTCTTCGCTCAGGATTACATGGTGCTTGAACTCGGCTGTTGCTTATTTTTCCTCACACTGAACACATGTAGCCACTTTCCAAAAGTAGCCATGTTTCAGCTGTAGCCAATTCAAATCCTGATCCCTTCGACCATAGAAAGATCCTCTAAGGCCGTCATGGCCTCCATGCTGCAAGTCACCGATCTCTTCGACGCCCACGCTGCTGAAGCCCCCATCCACCGCCTCGTATCAGTGCTCAACGCGCAGGCCGCTCAGATCCGTGAGCTACAGGAAAGTCTGCGTCTTCTGCAATCTTCGCAGCGCCAAACACGCGCAGTCTGCAGAGATCTGCGCACCGCCGTCTCTCCACTCGATCCTCGTATTAACAGCACGGAGAACGATGTCGATGCTTTGAAACAATTCCAAATTGCAGCTCAGAAGCAACTTGAGGCGATCAACCGCCAGCTGCAAGTAAAAGCAGACCGTCATGAGGTTAAGGATGTCGAAACTCGAGCCAAAGCGTCATCAAAACAGCTCGGACATGAACTCCGCAATGAACTCGCCACGCTGCAACTGGTGCAATGTCTGCAGACAGAACAGAGTGAGCTGCACGAGAGGTTGGAGACTGTTGATAGACGGTTATCCTCCAAAATGGACAAGGTTAGTAAAGTGTTGCTACGACACAACTGCTGTCTTGGTTTAACTGTGACTTTTCTATTGACAGTCGGAAGCTACTCGGCTGGACGGCGTATTGGTACAAATTCACGGCTTCCGACCGATGGTATCGCAGCTGTCGGCTCAAGTAAAGAGCGTGCAGACGCAACAAGAGCAGCTTGAGCACTCCGTCGCTCTGCTCGACTCGAATAGCGGAGCTCATCACATCCAACTGGAAAAGATACAGCAACACACGGGCGATCTTCAGCAGATGCTCGACGATGTCGAAGATCGTCATCATCAAGTTGTAGCCCCGCAGATCCGACGGCTGGACGATACGACAGAGCAACTGCATCAGGCGTTGGATGAGGTCAAAGCTGCTGCGGCAACAAGCGATACAGCAATGCGTACACTCTCGGCTAAATTCCACTCAAGTGCAGGCGCTCTTGCTTGCCAAATTCAACAACAACATCACCACATTGAGGTTGTTGTAGCCATGTTTGAATGTGTTGTTGTTGTTATTGGCGAAAATTGATCATTTTTTCCCCCTGTTTGATTGCAGGACGAGCTTGAGAAAATGGCTCCACGTCTTGACACGGAAGCTCAATTAGCGGATTTGAGTCGGCAAATGGCTACAAAAGTGTCCGATACAGCACACGAAGCTCTATCATCCAGTGTAAAAGATCTGCAACTTCGTTGCCAGAAGCTGACGGAACATACAGAACTAAGTACGCGGTTTTTGGACTGGTTTGCGCGGCGTGGAGAAGCGTACGAACACAATCTTGAGCTCGTAGAAACTCAACTGGGGCGGCTGGCTATGGCTTCGCATCCTCGGAGTCGTGAGCCGTTCGGGGAGCAAGTTCGCTATCCTCGATCTCCTTGACAAATCTAGATTTTAGATTTTAGAACGCTTCATAAACTGCTGAAACAGTTCTCGGAGCGACTCTCGTTCCTCTTGTTGTTTCGATCGCACTGTTGCCCTTTTAGCGTCTCTTACTGGGGCCACAAACACCCTCTCTGGTTGGCGAATAGCGTGCATTGCATCTTTAGATTGAGATGGTGTGGATACTTGCTCCAGTTGTCTACTCAATGCGAGAAGTTCAGCCTGGCGTTGCTGTTGCACTTGAACTGTGACTCGCGATACTCTCTTAATCATTAAGTTAATGGGCTGTTCCTGTTCTGAAGCTGTTGACTCTTGCAAGGAAGTGACGGGAACAAAGATGGATTCGCGAGGAGTGGCAAGACTGAAGCGTGTACTTGTTTGGACAGCACTGGCTCCGTCGGCAGCAAATTTAGGATTTAGAGCTCCATTATTCTCAGTTCCCTGTTCTTGATTGTTGTGTACGACGGTATCATCGTCTTCCAGAACGTAATTGGCTGAGATTCTGGGAGAGCTCCCGTCCTTCATGTTAAGCGGACGACGTGGAGCAAAACCTCGAGGAATTGACGGCACTTTCACCTTGATGAGTGTTCGTCCTGATTGTTTTTCGTCTTCATCGCGTGAACTCTCGGTATTCTCATCAATTGCTGGTGCTACATGAGGTCGAATTCCATTGTAAATGATTTGTAGCCGCTCCTGCTCCACTTCATACAGCAATTCAGTGTAATCTTTCTTCATTTTGTCACGATATGATCGATCTCCAAGACACACGGTATCTCCACAGCATCGCCAAAGCTCGTCCATCGCTGCTAAACACGCGTTCGATGCCTGGTTGAGCTTATAGAATAAAGCATCTCGATCTTTCTCCTCT